GTAAACAACCCCTCACATACCTGGAGAAGAGCCGTGATACACTGAAGAGTCGTCTGTTATCTTGCCTCAGTATTCCTCAACCATTATGGATATAATATGGTTTCCAGACTTTTCTTCGATTTGAAACACATAACCCTGGCTTGATCCAGTTTGTTAACGTCCTGCCGAAAGTGTAAATACTCTAACACAGACCTTTTGGAATGGACTTCCCAAGGCAGAAAAGAGCAGGGCCTTACCCCTCTCATTCTGGTCACCACATGCTGTTAATATGTCCTCTAATCCTGAGCTGTTCAGCTAGAGGCCCCCCTGCTGCTGATCATGCATGTATGCCACAAATCCTCCAGCCCTTGTCTGATGATCTAGAGTTCAGTCTAGAGAGAGAACCACCCCAGGCACCCGAGTATAGATGTGTGTCCGTATGTAACAGTTGGGAAGCACTTGCTGACGTAGCACACTGGCACCTACTCTTGAACACTCTCGCTCTCTGTCTCTCTCTCTCTTCACTGTAGGAAAACCCAAACCCACCTTGCACCTGGCTAAGACTTGGAAAAAAGCCATTCTGGATATTGCCCATATGTGCTGTCCTCTGTCCTTATTTTATCCAAAGCACAGCAGTGTAGAGCAGTAAAGGAGAGCCATAAGTGAGAGTTCTCACCTCGCGCCCCAGCCAGCTAGCAGCGTGTCTTGGCCACGTCCCTTTGCACCTCTGAACCTTCTCCTGAGCATGCCTTCCTGACCAGGGAGATGCTAGACAGAGTTATCTCCGACTTCACAGCCAACGCGGAGCCGTTGAGCCAGAAGAGATCTGAGGAGTCACCCTGTGCCTCTCCTAAAGCAAATGCTCTCCCTGCCCTCCCAGCAGCAGGCCATCCAGCTTCCTCCGGTCTCCGTCTCCAAGGCCCTTACAGTTTCTCAGTTGATACTTGCTGACAACAGCTGCAGCTGGGCTAGGTGCTTTCATACACATTACTCGGTCCCCACCCACAACACGCAGTGAGGGCACCATGCCAGGGCCATATCACATCCCTCCCCCCTTCTCAGGTAGGAGGCTGGTTCTGTGAGGTTAGGTCAGGCGACTCCGAGCAGAGGGCATAGGGACACAGGCAAGTGGCTCCAAGCCCCCCAGTGCCTTCACTGAGCCACACTTACCCCGTGTAGTCTTGAAGAATTTTAAAGTAATTCTCTGTTAAAGGTCTGAAAGAGCAAAGTTGAGAGGTGGACCTCCTCTCGGTAGAGTTCCCTGGCTGCTGGGAAGCAGCTGGTGTCTGGATCTGTCTTAGCCGTCTGTCTGTCTTCCCCAGTGCGGCCTGGCATTGCTCTAGCAATCAGGTGATATTTACTGATTGATTACTAATAAGATGTTAATAATGCTGTACATTTGAGTGGCACATTAATGTATTCTAAGTACTAGGCACTGTGTAGAGGGCTATGGGAGGCATAAATATGAATCAGAAAAGACTCTCCCTGAAAGATCTTTATATCAAGTAGTCTAGGTAAGGGATGTCGTCACAGTGTGACCTTTGCAGTAACTCTGTTAGGTCAGTAGAGCCAGCATTGTTATCCCACTTTATAACTGGAGGAACTGAGCCCCAGAGAAGTGCAGTGACCGCCATGGGTGACATGGCTGGGAGTCAGGGCCGGCACCATGCCCCAGGGAACCCAGCACAGTCCGGGTCTCCTGTCGAGTTTGTGTCCACACAGCAGTAGTAGTCAGAGGACAGGATGGGGCCTCAAGCCCGCACTGCTCTGGAGGCCATGGCGGGAAGCTGCCTGGTCACACCCTCCCTTCCTCTGCCCTCGTCTCCATCTCCTTGTCCTCCAGGAGCCCCACAGCCACTCCCTCCAGCTCACCTTCCTTTTATTTATTTACACGTATTTCTTTTTTCCCCTCCAGGTTGTGATCAATTATTCAATCGTGAAAGGGCTGAAGTACAATCAGGCAACACCAACCTTCCACCAGTGGCGAGATGCCCGTCAGGTCTACGGCTTGAACTTTGCAAGTAAGGAAGAGGCGACCACATTCTCCAATGCCATGCTGTTCGCCCTGAACATCATGAACTCCCAAGAAGGAGGTGAGCGGGGCTCCGTCCCGGCCTGGTGCTGCGTCTCTCCTGTTCCGCCTGCGCCTTCTCACTGCTCTGGCTCCGCTGGCCCAGCTCTGCGTGGGTTGTGCTGACGTTACATGGGTTCTCAGAGAAACCTGCCCCAGACTTGAGAGTTAAGGAGATAGTAACAATCTGATAGAAAGAGTGACATTTATATCTTTTTGCCATTTGTGAGATGCAGATTTGTGCTGATGTGTTCCTAAAGCTATATATCCAGTAGGCTTTACACTTCTCCCGTATTCTAGAACACTTGTTTAGCAGAGATGGGAGGGAACAAGCAACAGTTTGTTCTGAATTAAATGAGTCACTTGTATGGTTAATAAAATTTTGCTAAATATTTACTAAGCATTAGAAACTGGCTAGACAGGATAGATGGTATGAATAGATGGACTCCTTCCCCTCAAGGCACTTGGTATTGGAGCAGACAGATTCCTAAACTGCTAATTATAATGTATCATGATAAGTGCTCTTAGAGACTCAGAAAGGGACAGCTGAGCCGAGTCTTGAAGGGTGAGGAGTTCCAAGGCCGAGGTGGGAGCAGGCATAGGATACAGCAGATCCGAAGGCACGTGGGCATGGAAGGCCAGCCCGGGCGGGGCGGGGCGCTGGCAGTGTTCCTGGGGCCGAGCTGCAGATAGAAAGGATAGGGGAGAGGTTGGAGATGAAATTGGAAGGATAGTGGGGACCACACAGTGAGGCCCCAAAGACCCTTGGGTGGGCCTGATAACTGGTGTGGAAAGGGGAGGGAGCAGGGGGTGGTCCTCACGAACACTCCTGCGCAGGGCAGTTTAAGCTAAGGAGCAACAACACATATGGCTTTTATTGGGAATGTGGGGTGTTAGCTTCAGAGGGAGAACAGAAGCTTTCTGGGGTGTGGGTGCCCTGATGGCCCCGGTAGGGTCTGCAGTTTGCTAGAGAGCTGACCTTGGTGAGCCTGGTAGTTCAGGACTGGGCCTGGGGCCCCACGGCTCGACGTGAGCCCTGGTTCTGCCATATTCCAGCTGAGCAGCTCTCGGGCACATTACTTCATTTTTCTGTGCTTCAATTTCCTTATCTACAAATAGGATGGTAGGGGGTTGTTTCTGCACTTTAATCAACTAGACTGTAAAGTGGAGGCTGCCTGACCCACATCAGTCACCCAGGATTCTTGGTCAGTATTACCACGATCATTGTTGCCACTGCCAGAATTGTGGTGGGAAGTGGGCAGGCGTGTTTCTCAGAACGTGCAGGGAGGCAGGTGGCTCACAATGTCTGTGCGGCCTGAATACTGCAGCTTTGGGACCCCATTTAAGCCCTAGGAGAACGTTTGTAAGGAATAAGGAACACGTTTTGAGTCTGCTTCCCACTGGCCGTGCTCTGAACGCGCACTCGGCAGGCTGCTCTCCCCGCCATGGATAGGCTCCAAGGTCTGTGGATTCGCTGCTGGGAACCCGGGACACATGGCCAGAAAGCTGCTCCGTGGCAGCGGTGGTGTCGCATGACAGGCAGGGCCTGCAGCGCCATAGGCACCTGGTGAATGTTTGTTACACTGCCTTTTTTCCACCTGAGAGCCTTGAGCTTCATGGTATAGTGAGCTGAGTTTAAGGTTTCTGGTCTGAACTTCCTCACCTGCCCCACGATGTGAGGGTTAGTTGTATTTTATTTGTGCATCAGGATAGCTTGAGGGTCTAAAAAAAGGCTTTAATTTAATCAGACAACTAACTTTCAAAGCATCTGCTTAATTAAATAAAAACTACTAGTTACTTTGTTAAATGCACCATCAAGTCACAGGGAAATGAGCTTAACGCAGCCCTCATTTCTGAAAAGAAACCTGTGACCCATTATGAGGAAATACTTCGCGGTGGGGTGGTAGCTCAGGCTGGGAAGCAGGCCTCGCACCTCCTTTGGGTTGGGTGGGCGTCCCCAGCTAATTTTGGATGTGTGGTCCCAATGGGACAGTGGCCTCATTTGCAGCTTGCAGCATGAGACGATTGCCATCTTTTGTCTGTGACCTGACCTCCTGCTTCTGCAGACATGACCTTCAGTAAGGGTGACCCTGGGCCCTCTGAGAATCAGGCATGTCCTTCCCCTGAGGTATACCCTACGGACAGTGCCAGGCAGAAATCTGAGGGGTGCAGCCAATGAGGTTTTATGCATAGAGATGCCAGGTCCCCGCCAGCCAGGCCCTGACGGAGACCATATCCGTCTCACCCCACCCCCAGGATGACCGGGATGTCAGCTCTTGTGACAGCAGAGCCATCGTGCCTGTGTTTGAGCTTCATCCTGTGAGTGCTTCGCAGTGTGTATTTTTGTGCCCATAGTGTATGCACTGTTTCTGGGGGGCTCATCCTGGAATCACGTGTCCCCATAGCCGGTTTCTTGTCTCTGTAGCATGCTACTGCATGGTGCATGTGCCCCATCAATGCCCCTTTCTGCCCCCGTAGTAGAGCTTGTGCAATACGTCGGCAGCTTCTCCACCTCCCCCCTCCATCCGCCAGCTGCCACAGAAGGCCTCTTGCTGCCCCATAGTTGAGATGTTTGTTGCCATGCCCCCTCTGTATCAGAAAATTCCATCCTACCCTCTCTTGGTGGAAGGCAATTTGCTGTAGTAAAAAAAGCATTTGTTTGAGCCAGCTAGATCTCATATTAAGTCTTTGCTCTGCCACCTGTGGCATGGGATAATAAACCCTACTTCCCAGGGTTGTTTTGAAGATTAAATTTGAAATGTTTATAAAGCACCTAGCATATAGTGCCTGGTATGTAGTAAAAGCACAAATGATATTGGTTTTTTTCCCTTTTGGTCTTGTTAATGTGGCTGTTTCTGGAAGCGTCAGTGTCCTTATTAGTAAAGAGGGTCATAAGTCCCACTTGGGAAGTTGTGGAGAGGATCAAGGGCCTGGCGTGGTGCCTGGCACCCCATAAACACTCACCACTGCTCCGTCCTTCTCCTTCCATGGTGGGCATCCGGGGATATTGTGCCTTTGGATCACAGTCTTTTCCAAGACTCAGGATTCCCTCAGGTTGGGTCTTGCTCAGCATTTCCCACTTGTCCCTCCTCGTGGGTGGCCAGACACTAGGGTGGCCTCCTCTGAGCTCCACGCCTGGCAGATGTGAGATACTGAGATAAAACCTGAGAGCAAATCAGAGCAAATCGTGGATGCCCAGGACTGCCCCAAACAGTTTCCACATGCTCCTCCTGCGGATTTGAGCACCCAGGTAGCATCGCCACGCTAGGAAGCCGAGGCTCAGAGGGGACAGTGACTTCCCTGTAATTCCCCGGCCAGAAAATGAGCTGGAATTCAGCCCAGAACTGGACTAACTCACACAGTGTGCACTGTGCTATAGATGGCCTTCCGCCTCTGTTCTTTGTTCTTCCTGCCTTTTGACCTAGTGAATGCACTCTGGATCAGGCTTCTTACCGTTGTTCTCAGGAAAGAGTGGGCATGACAAGGTGCATCTTTGCTGCTCACCTCCGCCTGTAGGAGGTTGTCGGAGTTTGCCCTGAAACATCTGTTTCTCTGACACTGCCCTTGGTGCCCACAGAGTCGGCCTTTACAGTGGTTACAGATACTGGTTCTTCAACTGCAGGCCCCACCTAGGGCCCTAAGGTCAATTTAGCAAGTAAAACAAATAAAATATCCTGGAGCCTGGGGGCTGTGGTTCCCTGAGGGGACAGAAATGCAGAGCTAACATAGGGTTCTCTTGGGACTACAAGGCTCGGTTCAGGAGTGTCTCAGTGGATAGGGACAGTCAACCGCTGGGTCCCTGGGGCTTTTTCTACAGATCTGGCCTCTGGAGGTTGTTTCAGGGGCGCAGAGGGGCCGTCAGGCTCCTGAGGCATGGCTGGCGAACCCAGGGAGGAGGAGTACCAAGCTCAAGCTGCCCTGTTGCGGGAAGCAGAGGGCCACGGCCTCACTGTGGGCACGGCTGTCTGTGGTTACCACTCCTGCAGCTCACAGAGCATGGCTCAGGCATGCAGCCGGCTTTTCGGGGTTTCAGGTGCTGACCAGCGAGCCGTCATGGCCAAGGATGGTGTGTGCCTGGTGAGGGCTCAGAGCGGGGCTCCTTTAGCCCCGTTGGTGACAGAGATAATGTTTGCCATAATAACAATGATTCTAGACTTTCTCCTCAAAGCCTAGGCTTCTCACTAGGCTGCTCCCATCTGCCCCCCTCATGGAAAGGCCCCCACTAACAAGCAGCCCAGGGCTGAGGGCCACCAGCCCCACAGGAGGACTTCTTGGCTAAGGAAGCCCTTTCTTTACTCTCAAGTGCCTGTTATTTGGCTTTTCTTTCCA